GTCTACAGTCCAGTGTGTGTGTGTGTGTGTGTGTGTGTGTGTGCGTGTGTGTGAGGCACCTAAATACACCTCAGGGACAGAGGGGTTCAGGGCCTGTTAAATAAATAAACAAACACATAAATAAAGTCAATCGATAGAGGGAGCCTGATCCGGCACTCCGGGCCTGTGTTTCGCCTCTCACTTCATAAGAGAGGCCTGTGGGGGAGAGAGGGAGAGAAGAGAGGGGAAAAAGGGGGGAAACTCAGAGTGCCAGAGAGAAGGTAGGATTACTTCTCTCTCGGTGGCTGTTTAGGGCTGGTTAGTGGAAGCCAAGGCCTGCTCCCCCTTTAACAGAAAGCAGGCCTCGATATGCTGTCTCAGTTCATGCGCGCACACACACACACACACACACACACACACACACACACACACACACCTGTCTTTACGCTCGCCTGAGGCACACTTCACACAAATCAGATGGCCCCCTAAACCTAAACCTACCACACATACAAATCATAACTCCCCCCGTGCTCGGTGCAGTTCCTCAGAACCTGCATTTGTCCCCGATTAGGGAGCAGTGTGCGCGTCCTGCAGCAGCAGCACGGGTTCCTTTAAGGCCCGCTGCTGCATAAGGAGTGTTGTGCCTTAAGCGACTGGCAATCACTCATCCAAACCTTTCCAGCTCCCCGGCGCTGTAAAAACTAGAACGGGAGTGAGTGCACTTGCCGAAGAATTCCATCTGACAGCTTTGAATGCCGAGGGCAGCGTGCAGAGTGTGTGTGTGTGCGTGCGTGTGTGTGTGTGTGTGTTTGAACAAGCCAAAGCAGGGAGAGGTTTGAGCGGCGGCACGTCTCCCGTGAGCAAATCAGATCGCACCTGGCCGCCTGCTCCCATAAGCCGCCGCGGCCCGGCGAGCGTCGGCACAGGGCAGTGATATTCCCGACACATTAAGACTTGTTCTGGCGAGGGAGGGGGAGCCGAGGAAAAGAGAGGGAGGGGAGGTGGTGGTGGGGAAACGGCGTGCTGGCAACAATTCAAGACAGCAATTCCATCGACATGAGAGAAATGCTTCCCAGAAACTCGGGATAATATTTATGTTGTGCGAGTGATTCCTTTTCTTCCTCCCACCTGTATGCTGCTTGTTGCTTTCTAAAATGGACGCCTGATAAAGGAGCGCGAGGGGAGGCAGGCTTCCTTATCAACGCACAACACGCTGCTTTTCCTCCACAGTCTTTAATCAGGGGCTGCAAAGTTAAGCACGAGGCTAAAAACATCCTCGGTTTGATACAGTTAGTTATTGGCGGTGCTTCTGGACCCGTCGCAGCCGCTGACGGGTGACATGGATGAATGGTGCCGTGGTGGGACGCAGGATGCCTCGAGGGTCGGGCCAATTAGCTGCTGACAGGAGGAGAGATGAATGTGCCGCCTGAGGATGTGGCCGGGACGCGCAGTGAGACGTGGGGAGAAAGGACTGAGAGAAAAGGCGCTGCTGCTAAGCTAAGCGGCCAGCCCGAGAGGGGTAGAGGCCACTGAGAAGCGTTTTGTTGGACGAGGCTGGAGCGTGCAGGGCATGATAATGCAAAAAAAAAAAGTTTATTTAAACGACCGTTGGTCTGGTCCTACCCAGTCACACAGGAGTGCCAACGTAGTTTTGTGTTTTACCAGTACATGCAAAATTCGGGTGGTTTTGTCAGGTGAGAACATTTGCACGCTTGTGGTGGTTTACAGGAAACGGGTCGCCCTCGTGCCAGCGTGGCAATGAAATGAATACTGAACTTTATTTCCAAAGCTATTTTTGAAAATGAGTTCTGTCCATGAATGTGGTTAACGCTGAAAACCGTTAAATAGCCTCGCTAATGACGTGAGAGTTTTCCTTTAAAGGATTTAAATGGAGTAAAGTGGGTAGGAAGGTGCAGAATAAAGGCTGCCTGCTTTGATATCTCCAGCATGGCAAACACACACACACACACACACACACACACACCCGTATGAAAACATATGGCAGAGGCAAAGACACACACACACACTCACTTTGCTTTCTGGGAGCAGTGCCCACGGCAATAAAACAAAGACCAGAGTCCTCTCAACCAACCAATCACTGCCTGTGGGCCAGACGAAATGTTTCTCACTAACAGAAACACATCTTATCAGCTGGGGATCAGATAAGAACAGAAGCAGCACAGCTGGAAACAACAGAATATCCATTCTGAGAAGAGTGTGTGCTGGCAGTGACGCGGCCACTTTGAAAGCGCACACACACGGACGGATGAGCTGAGTGAAACAAAACCACGCAAGGAGCCGATCAATCAGTTAAAGGCCTCAACAAAAGGCTGCACAAACACAATGCGGAGCTGCGCCGTCATTGGTGAAAACATCAGTCTTTTTAAAAGGCGTTATGTTGCATAGCTTGTCATCGAGTCCCTTATTTTCAAACCCGTAAACCATTATTTCATCTTCAGTGTCTTTGGAAAAAAAGATGTCATTCATCTCCACATCATAATTTGACTAGATTTCTCATGTGAAGTTTTTAGTTGACTTGACAAACGTTTAAAGAAATGACTCTTTTCTTTCTTTCTTTAGCCAATGCAGCTTTTGATTGCAGTGAAAATCACCACATGTAATATCTGAAGCAGAAATGGTACATAGATAAAAATGGAAACTGAATCAAATGCTGACGCTGTATCGGAAGTGAGAGGAACAACAGAAGGAATCATGCTGTGGGGAACAAAGAGGTCTGCGCACAATTTACACCAGTTGGTAATTGTTGAAATACTTTATACACAGGGGATAAAGAGTTGTGTACAGATAGAGAGAATAATTGAACTCTTTTTAAAGAAGAACTTGTTGCAGACCGTCTCGCGGTTGGCGCAGAACGTACAAAAACATGTGATTTCTTTTGGTTAATCTGGCACGGTTTGAATTACCGTCGCGGCACATCAAGCACCAGCATTAAACCCTGTAATCCCCCCGGCTCAAATAAACAGCAGCTCCAGCCCGGACTGCAGCGAATGCAGATGAGTGTTAAATTATGGATTGGTTTGAACTCCTAACCTCTGCCGGGGTTCAGTGAGGTGAATGTTCGAGGTGCGCGGTGACACTTTATATATATATATATTTTTTTCCATTCGACATTAAGGAGTGACATCATAGCCTGACCCGTGACATTCGGCTGGTTTGTTCCAGATGCGTTAGTGCCGTAAGCGCTGCTGCTAGCGGGAGGACGGTTGTGACTGAGGAAAAGGGGGGCAGGCTGGCTGTTTGGGTGGGTGGGTGGAGGGGGGGCTTCTGGAACGCCTTATGTGACTATCTGGGAATAAGGGCCCTTACGCAACAGAAAACCTCGCAAACTACAGTCAGCCGCTGGGATTTAAAAAATGGAAAGTCTGTCTAAAATGTATTTAAAGTTCCAAAAAGTCAACTGAATTGAAATATTAAACTGGTTTGAATGCGCAGATACGAGAGGGGAGTCTGTTCTTGGGGGGGAAAGCAGAGGGAGAATGATGTGCGCCGTAGCTTCTGGCGCTGTAATTACTGTGAGCTTCCACCCGTCTCACTATTGCACCACATCGATTTGGTCTTCTTCTTCCCCTCCCCTGACTCTCGCTATCAGCCGTCACTCCGGGACAGAGGGAAGAGAAGACGTAGCTGATATTGACTGGATGTGATTCAGAGTTGAGCTCGTTCAACGGTGACTTCAAGCCGGAGATGGAGTTACACTATTTAGGCAGTTGGGGTATTGAGTCACGTTAATGTCTTTGACACTTTAAAGTGGAACAGGTGTCCGATTCAGACAAAACGTACATTGCAAGGATCGCTGCCGGGGGAATAATGCTTCACACTCTATCCTGTGCACGGGCACCGGATTCCGACATGCCGGGGGCATTGACACTTATTTCCTTCCACGTGACATCCGAACCCCCTGCGGTCCCTTTTCCCTCGGATGCCGACCCATTTCGCCCCCCCCCCCCTCTCAGTCCCTGTCATGGCTGTGTGCCATTAAAAGCACATGTACAGCACCAAAAGGTTTTCTGCTCGGATTGAGACAAACATGGGTTAAGTTGCGCTGAAGCCAATACAGCCCCGAGACCCTGACGCACATACAAACAACCACAGCCGTCGAGAACAAGCCGGCGCTTCTTTCTTTGCTTCCGGGGAGGGATGTCTGCCGGTAGGTATTTGGTGGTAACTCTCCACCCAGAGATCTCTGCGTTACAAATCGCAGCCACAATGATGGATTTTTGAGTGGATTAAAGAGCTCAATGGGGACAAATGTGCGTAACGGAAGCGTGTGATCCGTGGCGCTCGGTGGCGCGGACTTCCGATGCATCCTCCTGGGAACGGGAAAGGGGCAAAGCGTGGCGCCCAGCAGCAAGCGAAGGAACTGACAGCAGGGCAGCGCCCTCCTCGAATACATCCGATCAAAGACGCGCGTAAGAAGACCGGGGAACAATCCCAATCTCACCGCTTACGGACTTTGAGGTGCGCTGCTACTTACTCTATAAAGGTTTGGTTCTGTCCCACCATTGAGTTTCAGGCTCTCTGGCAGACATTTTGAGCCCTTTATGAACCCTTTCCATAAGTCAGCATTTGATGGTGACTTAACCCAAAGAAATGACCCACAAGTCATCACAATGTCACGTTAAGAAAAACAGCATAACCAGAGAAAAAAAAAAGAAATACACTATTGTAAATCATATTTTTTGACGTTGTCATGGTAACTTGATGAGCAGCAAAGTGGCGTCCCATTCACATTCACACCACCTCAAGCCCTCACAGACTCTCACACTCAACCATTTGAGATGACGCACGGGAGAAAAAGTACGTGGTGCCGCTGTATTCGCCCAACCTCGCTAATGCGAACGACAGGTGCAGCCGGCCGCTGTGAGCGGAAGCCCGCCCATCCGTCATCCGCCGCGGCGGTGGGAGTGAACCATTGCTCCCTGGTGGGGCGCGTGTGGTAAAGTGATCATCCAGTGACAAAGAGGAATCGCTCTCTGTAGCTTAAGGGGGGCCATCACTCTTCCAACAAGGGTCAGCTCAACCCGCAAACGACTCCAGCGAGGGCGGCGTTGGGGACGGATGTCCCGTAGCTCGAGCAGGTCGACAGACGGAGATCCGTCGGAGCGATGACTACTGTTGTTGGGTGGAGGCCCCCCTCGTGTTATAGCAGCTGCCTTTCAACCAATGTCTGAAGCTGAGGAGCAGGTCTGTTTGTATGTGCGCAGTCCGCTAAGTCAGCGCTAGATGTACGGTGAGTGTGACAGAACGCCTCCCTCTCCAGTAGCTTCTCCTTATCACAGAAGCGCTCAAACACCCCTCTGCGGGTCAGGTCGTGTCACGGGTCGGATCTAAGGAGGTCTACAGGTTTTCTCAAGACTCTTAAGCTACCCGTTGATGAACGAGGGCAAGCAGATAAGGCAGCACCAGTAGCTGGTGTTCCTGAAGTACATTCACTCCTCATCCACCAATACAGGCAACGTCTGTTTCATTGGCAGCTGTTCTGCTGTCAGTCCAAAAGGAAGCGAAAAGGCAGATTCAATCTCGCTGGTATGTATTAAACTTTTCCGTGGTTTGCTTTGTCTATTTCACCGAGTGATCTTGTGACACGTTCCTTTTCATTCGATCCAGCTGCTGAGCGTTCTGTGGCGTTGACAGCATTTGTAAAAGCGTGCTTGCTGTCCGGCTCCAAGGGACTAATGGCATCTGCTCAGATGAGGTCCGACTGCAGACACAGAGCGGGAGGAAGCCTCCGCTCCTTCACGCGCGTCCCACCTTTGCATATGTAAAGGAAAATAAACAGGCTTTGCTTCCCCCTGCTCTGTCTTTCTTGCCTCTGTCTGCTCTGTCTCAAGTCATATGAGGTGGTGTATAAACACAAGCCTCTGTGGATCAGTGCACACAGACACAGGATATGAGAGTGATTCCCCTCACCTCTCCCGTTTGAACCTGCGTCACAGACACTGAAAAGCAGCTTCTTGCCAAAAAAAAAGGGGGAAAAAGGCCACGTCAGCTCCGCTCTGCCGAGCGAATTCCCCGTCGCTGCTCCGTACAGACTCGTCCTGCCTCTGTTAGAACTCAATGTGCACAATGCAACGACTGGGCTCTTTCTCCACGCACAGCAGCTCCACACTGACATTAATATGTGCGTGTGGCGGGGCAGAGAGCACCACTACTACCTCGTTGGCCCAACTAATACTAACTTATACCCCCCCAAAGAGATAATGATCATCCAGTGGAGCTTAAGAAGGCCATCACTCTTCTAAAAAAGGGTCAGCTCGACCAGCAAACGCAGCCGGGAAGAATATTACTAATACTCAGGAGAAACACTCGCCGGTTCTCTAAGCTCAAGATCTTTGTGTTTTTGGACCCTTCGTCTGGCAAACGTCAACTTGGGCTTTCAGAAGTTGTTATGACATTTATTCTATTTTATGAACCAAACAGTTAATTATTCATTCAATAACCCACAAATGAATTAAGGGTTTCAAATCCGACCAGGAGCACTGAAGCAGGTCTGAAGTTCTGTAGTGGCCAAACGCCTTAATAAGGATCTGTGTGTGGGTCTTTTTGTGTCTCAACAGCCACATGTGGCTCAAAGTCAGCTCTCGATGTGCTTTTGTTCATTTGGCCAGTTGGTAAAAGTTCAAATCTGTTCCTGCGAGTCTTTCCTCCAGCTAACCCCCCTGATGGAGCAAGCAGAGAAGGGGGACTGGAGAGGAGAAGGATGGAGGGGAGGCAGAGACGTGGCGGGGAGGAACCTAGATCAGAAGCCCTACGGCCAGATGAGATACCTCTGGTAGCCATGCAGCTGAAACAGAAAGGTGGATTCAGGGGCCTGGCTAAGGAAAAGCATACATGACCCCAGTAAAAAGGAAGACCAGGGACATTATCACTAATAAAGTGTTCAGTCTCATTTAGCTGGCTCGAGTACCTTGCTGTCGGACTGCTTACCCACATGAATGTGGGAAAACTGACTGGGAATAAAGGCTTCCGGAGTGAGCAGGTGAAAGAGCAGGCGCACGAGAGATGCATTTAGCGAAGCCGTATGCTGCAGTCAATCAGTCGACTCTTTCAGACGCTGTCAGCTTCACTTACACCTGTTCCTCCACGGCACCCGTACCCCCGCAATACGAAATTACTATCTAATAACCCATCTCAGCCATATTACTCAGACTCAAATTGGAGCAGTTTGGATCAAATCTGAGATCACCTCGCGGTGCTTTAGAGCAAAAAAAAAAAAAAAGAGGCCATTAAAAACGAAAGGCCATAATTTGCAGTGCAGTGTCTGCTGCTCCAAAATGCCATAAAGCTGGATTGGTGTGATGGGGGGCAGAAATGAGGGGGGGCGTTCTAACAATCCAGAACAGTGATAATCTTAGCATGCCATCTAGTGACGGAAGGAGGTACTCCAGCGGGAGAAATACTGCTATATCGATCCCGTCGAAATGAGGTATCACTAGACTCAGTATAATTAGAGTCTGTCTTAATTGTATTTCCACAAAATGAATAAAAATGAACAATTGATTTACACAAGATGAACATCTTAAACCTGGGAGTGTACTCTCCTTAAAATGCTAAACAGTGCAACTTTTCATTATCAAGCCTGCATTTTTTTAAGTCAAGTCAAATGAAGTCGTTTTTACACACAACAATCGGGATGAAATTAATTTTACGCTCCATCCGGCCGGAACCCCAAAGGTGCCGATTCAGCAGACCACTTGACAGTTTCTTCTAAGGAGAGCTCCGACCACAGTAGAGATTAGTGTGGTGCCGAGGAATAAATGATTGTATGTCAGTAGTTCAGATATGATGTCTAAATAAAACTTGGAAAGTGCTGCGTAAAAATCAACCAGGACTGCTGGACGGTCGCTGCAATGTGAACCGCATCCCCAAACCAGTCCCGCCTCCAACTCCACCTTTACAAACCAGGCCGGGCCCGTCGCGGTCGACCAGAACACACCCTGCACTAATGTGATATCATGCCCGTCCGAAAAGCCGCCTGAACCCTAATGAATACAGAGCGCAGAGGGGCCTGTAATTAGTGGGGCGGCGCGAGAGGAGACGCACAACACCACGCCCGGTAAACAAACTCATCTCGGCGGGGTCGCTCGTCCGAAGGGTAGCGGAGGAGGACGAGAGAAAAGGAATTACCTTTCTGACACACGTCAAAGCCAATCAACGCGCAGCATCCCTCGCCGTCCTCGCGCCCCAAAATCCCCCGCCCCCCGCCGCCACCGCTGCTGCGTTTCATCTGCCAGTGTTAGTATGCACACAGGCCGGACGCCAGCCTCCCAATGTATTCATTTATTCAGAGCCCCTCGGAGAAATCACAGTTTCTTGTTGTCCTTTTTTTTCTCTCCCCGGCTGTCCAGATGGAATTTGCGTGAATAACATCAGTTTAGTGAGGCAGAAAATAAGTACAGGCTAGCACAGCAGAGAGGACTAGATTACACCCCCCCCCCACACCCAAAAAGGATGGAAAGTGTCACCTTCATACACCTTTCTCCATTTCTGTCCCCCCCCCTCCGATTTTTCTCCATTCCATTGAAACTTATTAGGCGAGGAGAGGCGAGGCAGCAGAGAGATCAGCACAGCTTTCCAACAATGACGTTGTGTTATCATGCACTGCAGGTGCAATTAAACACAAGCGCAGCTTTTTCATTTACAAAAAGGTGAGCGTCCATCAAGGGTGATGCCCATTTATCCCTGTTTTGTTTTGCATTTGTAAAGGTAACTAATTGCATTAATTAATCAGATTCGATTTGAAGAGAAAGGCAAGAGTATCTCGCAACCGTAATTGAATGAGATGGGGGGAAAAAAAGAAGCTGTAAATCAATATTTCCTGCCTCAATAAAGCCCGAGAGAAATTAAAATGCCTTCAGTCAGAAGAGTGGAAGGCCTCAATGTTCGCTTGGCCTATCAAAAATAATTCACTACACAGCCTTTAAGTGGTCTGGTAATTATCTTTAGAATGAACTCTAGGAATGGATATAGTAGCTGTAAGATGAGCGTTGCAAATAGCAAAAACAAATCTTTGGCAGACATAACGAGTACGTGAACTTGTTGGCTGAGGAGAATGAAACAAGCGGGAGAAAAACACGCTTGGCGTCATCTTACCTCTCGGAGCACCGTGCTGCCGTATCCTCTGTACAAGCCTCGGACACCCTGAGAACACAACACACTTTTATTACAATCACAGACAAACACCAATAAATACCAAAAAAATGCTTAACTGTGAGAAGTTGTACGTATTTATTTTAATTGTTCCATTCATTCGTTTTACATGTCCAATGTTCATATGAAACGTTGTTCAAACCAATCTCAGAAATCATAATACGAGAAAAAAATATTTAATAAGAAATAATTTGATCTTACTATAACTTGGCTGTTCTAGATATGGCCTTCATCTTTAGACATTTTACTCATTGAAGTAAGCGCCAAGACCCGGGTTGAGGTGTCAGATGGTTTTAAAGCCAAAACCACAAAATAAATATCAAAATAGGTAATAAAACAGACGTATTCTCCGTTTGCCTCGGATTGCTGTGTACCTCTTCCCTGAGTGTAGCCAGCAGCGTGTGGTAAGTGGTGGATGAGGGGGAAGCCTGGGTCCTCTGTTTGATCACCTCGGTGGGAACCCGGATCAGACACGCCACCTACGGGACAGATGGAGCAACGGGTCAACAGTGTTTCCTCGTGTACATTCCCAATCCACATTGCTGCATTTCCTCCTGCAGGACATTCCATATCTACGGCGTGCCTAATTGCCCTCCCCATTGCCCCCACACTGGCCTGTGTATCTCTACACGTGGCAGTTGCTGCGAAGAGAACAAACGCTGAGCTTCCAATCGGGCCAATTAACAGAGCAGACAGGACACCTGAGCAGGTGAAAAAGGGTCAGAAGGCCGACTGTGCATCTGCGTCCGATGAACATTCGCTTCGCTCAAAACACACCGATAGATCCGGGCTGACACACACCTCATAAAGCGCCCCCCCCCCCCCCCTTCCCCCCACCAGCTACGAGTTCTAAACACATCCACCATATGTCAACAAAAATATGGACTGCCGACAGCTAGTGAAGACGGACATGAATATTTATGACCTTCATAACCTGGAGGCCGGTGGGCACCGCTGACCACCTGGTGACTCGATTAACCATTTATTCTGCACCGGAGCGGAAACGCCGGCGAGCAATCTCACAGAAGGGTCGTGAACCGGCCCCCTCGCTGTGACTCCCCCCCCCCCCCCGGTTGTACAGATGCCGGCCGGCGGCGCCTCCGTCGCCCAGAGCCGCGTTGCGATGGGAGCCGACATATCTCTCTCTCTCTCTCTCTCTCTCTCTCTCTCTCTCTCTCTCTCTCTCTCTCTCTCTCTCTCTCTCTCTCTCTCTCTCTCTCTCTCTCTCTCTCTCTCTCTCTCTCTCTCTCTCTCTCTCTCTCTCTCTCGACGGGGGGGAGAAAGGGTGATGTCGGCTCTGCGGTAAAGATTAGAAAACGCTCCCCTGTCCCGCCTGCCTCCGTCTCCGCTCAGCTTTCAAATCGCATTCAGCGTTCAGGATGTCTCCATGCGGTGGGCCCCAGAGGGAAAGAGTCCCCCCTCCGGGACCTGTTAGAGGGTCTCACCAGCTCGTCTCCTCTCCCAGAGACCAAGGACACCTTATGAGCGAGGACGGAAATGTGCGTGGAGCACAAAAGCAATGGAAGGGGTACGTTAGCGGCCCCCAAGGTCAAGTGAGATGACAGACGGAGCTGTGGAAGACTTTACAGACACACGACTTGCTCTGTATCTCTAAAAAAAAGAAGAAGAAGAAAAAAATATTGACTCGTGTTTAATATTTTCTCCGTTTCTCAGCCTTGTCTTGACCTTGGATGCATCGCTTCTGCTGCAGGCAGATGTCAGTTTTCAAGACAAAACGAGCACACACAACCTCATCATCCTGTACAGAAGAGCACTTGAATTGGTGCCGAAAGAAGACGTTTCAGGCTGCAGCCTCACCGTGGTGCAACAGTACCACCAAGTGGCCAAACATCCGGCCGCATCCCATCACTGCGATAACTAAGCTGGCCGCATCCATCGCAGGGATCTCATTTGCCCTCCCTCTGCTCAGCTTACCGTTTATAATACATTGTACATCGTGTTTTCCCCAAACCAATTCTCCAAAGGACCGGAATAAAGCGGCTAAATGGAAAGAAAGTGGCTATGACAAGTAATTACTGACGTAATTGGATGGGGGGCCCGGAGATGAGACGGCCTTTCCTCTCCTGTCACTGCAGAGAGGAAGGCAGAGTGAGCCAAAGATTATACCAAATAAATTAGGGACATTGTTTATTTGGGAGTAATTTGCGCGCCTCGAGGCGGGGAGAATCATGTTGAGTGGCCAGAAGATAGAGTGTGCCGCCTCTGAGGCCATTTTAGATCTGTAAAAACGGCAGAAAATTGGCAAACGGGTTGATGAACCTGAGGCGTGCGCGATACAATATGACTCGGGCTCAGAAAAGATTGGTAGTGTATTAAAATAATTGGCGAAAGCGGAGTGAGTGACAGGTTTAGGTACAGTAGGTGATTGTCAGCTCGTGTTGGGGGAGGGCTGCAGGTTTCTTCACCTTACATTGCTTATCCTTCACTTTCCGATGCTTTGCCTCGGCTGTCTTTTAAATTCCCCGCCAGCATTAATCTTTATTTACAAGCTGTCAGATTCGTCATGCGGCGTTAATTAGGAGGCTGACTGCCCGTGATTGGAGCCGTCCCGTTTCCCTTCGGCCCGTTGGGGTTTTTTTTTCCAAATGATGGAGCGTCTTTTCAATTTCCAGCAACGGGCCGCCAAACAACAAGGTAAGAGGACGGCACTCAATCATGGGGCGAACAACGGTGAGAAATTAGCAGAGATTCCAGCGATTCAATCGCCAGCTTGAGTCGTTAGCTCCCTCCGTCCTGCCCTTCCTTCGCCTTATTTTGCCCCACATGGCGGCGGTCAGGCAATCAGGAACGTGAACACCATTTGGCACCATAAAGAGACGGCTGGTGAGAGAAACAAGCTGACTGTTATGTGCCTTAAATGTTTGGATTTGTTCATTGTTCAAATGTGCTGCACTCACCACCAAAAACGTCCCTCAACGTTGGTTCACTAATAAACAAAATAAGCTGGGATGAATTATGATTGAAATAAATACCTTCTAAAACATTCTTAATCCACTAATACGGTAATCAATGGTGGAAAAATAGCGCTTTCCACTCAATGTCATGTCAGATACAATGAAGTAAAGCCTTCGTAAACACCTGCGGCCCTGCATGAGCCACTAATTCCCACGACTTTGATCACACGTCCAGTCCTGCAAACACCTCAGAGTACCGACACTGAAGTACAACAAAGGAAGGAAAGGAGGAGATGGAAGTAGAAAAAGGTCATGAAGAAATAGGGAAGATATGAGGACACTGAGCGTCTCCAACTTTGAAACAACAGCCATAAATCACGGCGCGTGGCGCTGCTCGCAGGCGATGCATGGATTATTTCTCAGTGCCAAGTTAAGTGGCTGCCAGTTTCTACCCTGCCAAACTCCACCCTCCCGCTCCCTGCCCCCCCCCCCCCCCCCCACCCCCTCCCCCCCAAACCCCCATCTTGTCACGTCACACTGTATTTTCCAGTACATCCTCCTACAGATGTGTGCTGGTGCTGGTGGTGGAGGTGGGGGGGGGGGATTTATAGATGCAAGAAAAACCTGCCGCCCGGCCTTGACAAATGAGCTTTCAGGGCAGACGTCGAGCGAATGGGAATGAAGATAAATCTGATCTAATGGCTGGATAACAGCCTGCTAGAGCCTGACAGACGCCATCAGCTTACACATTCTTTATGGGAGCGTCCCAACACCCGCACAAACACCGGGATGCTTCTGGCGAGGGACTCGAGCGGGGTAGGGGGGGGAATTTCTCTCATTGTCTCTTTTTCTTTCTCTCTGCTGCTTGTGATTGTCCTCCTCTCCGTCCTTTCGCTCTCTATCCGTCCGTTTAAAATGGAAGGGGCATTCGATGACCGCCATTAAACAGCTGCAGTAAACGTCTGCTTTACATCGGTAGTCCTATTCCCCAACCTGTGATCCTAAATCTAATGAAGGAACTTACTCAGCTAACGAACTTTAAACTCATTATAAAGATTATGATTCCCGTAAATTATAATGATCAAATAAGGAGCTTTTGTTTACTGTTTTTTCTTACAACCATTCCTCCTTCCCCCGTGATGAACATCTGTTAAACCAAAGGCTCGGCTATAAGGACGTATATTAAGTTGATTTTGTTGTTTGTTTGCCCTTGTTGTTTATTGTAGTATAATTACTGATCACCATCTCCCTCTGGAATGACCGTAACACACATTGACTCCACGTTTCGTGAGTTGGTGCCAAGTTGAGCGCATCATAGATAGATGGGAGGCTTGGGGAAAGAAATAAGCGGCATAAAGCTTGTGCGCTGAATGATGTAGCGTGGAAAACACCCGGTGACACTCGTCCAAATGGATCCTGCGGAATGGATCAAGGGCTGATGAAGAGGGGCAATGGGCCGGGTTTGTTTTTAACTATTCAGGTTTGGTATGAAGCCAGAAGAAGTGTTGTTTGCACCTGTGTGGTTTAAATAAAAATAAGCTATACCTCCAAATGAAGCTGTCATATTATTACATCCTGGACGTAAATATAAGAAAACCAAACCTTCACAGTCACAAAGTAGATGATAAAGAGGCAATAGTTGGGTCGGCCATCTTCTCTCAGACCATTGGAAAAGGAATAATGGCGGCTTAAACCTGGTGGACAAACGGTACTTTCTCCCCTCAACATTAACAGCATGGAGGGGCCATTTTTATTAAAGGCCTATTTCATTTTTTGAGAGCCTTTGATGTATAAAAATAGTAAAAATAGTTTTAATAATGGCTTCGACAGGCTTGTGTCCTTTGTGAGCTCGGAGTCAAAAGGTACTCGATTCATAATGATACGTAACAGAAATGCACATCCTGCTCCTTTTCTGTCAATCCACTAATCAATGTATCAACGACTAGAAAAAACAAACATATCGCTGCCGACCTGGGAAAATCTCACTCAGGCTCATGTTGCCTAATACAAAATCTCATTAGCAGTGACTGAGCGGGCGCTTGCATCATAGTGCGGGTGTTTAGTCCTGGAATCCCACTCGGGGCAGCACTGGGTCAGGCCTTTCATGGCTAAGCCTGAAGCTTACTCTGCTTGAACAAGACGTATCCAGTTGCCAGTAGGCAGTGGGATACCGCCCCCCCCACCCACCCCCTCTCCCGCTCCGCTACGCTCAGAGGATTTGGGCCTTTGATGTGCTCAAATCCAGAAAAGCGGGGAAGGGGTTAAAAGAAGCTGCAACCTCAGCCTGACCCTTCACACTCGTGGGGAAAGTGCCACAGACCAAAAGTGTTAAGAGTTGCACTCCTGAAGCGCCGGCACTGACTAAAGACGTCGATCGCTACAACTCTTAGCGAATTTGTGCCGATATAAGAGTAACGAGTGACCTCAACACATCGAGACCCCCAGACCCCCAGAACACCCGCGCATGTGGAATAATCCCATCTCATAAACATGCAAAACTTGGCTTAAATCACATCCATCCAAAAGCCATGAATACCAACAACCTAGTATTTTGGCGGTATAGCAGGGGGGCGCTCCTCTTGAGTATTCAAGGCCCCCATATGGCTCCGATTCCGTGGTTCACTGCGAGTGATTTGGGACGGGATGGACTGAGGAAATCGCCTCGCCTCGTTGTTGGTTTCATGCCTGAATTCCCCCGACTACGTTGGCAGAGTCCGGGGGCCTGAGCTGGCAAAGTAGATGAGCCAATAGGCAGTAATGACATCGTATTTACCCAGCTAGTGGGGAGAAATGCTGGGAGTCCTGAGGAAGCCCCTTTAACGCACCCTGCTGGACTCCGGGGCCCACAGCAAACCCCCCCAACGCCCTCTGTTAACAGCGCTCTGTGACATTTGAAGGTGGCCTCCCAGAGATCGAGAGCAATACGAATGCACACGAGTTCAAAGTGTGCTGGCAGTTTGAGAGTGGAGTGAAAATCCAAACGAAAGGAGGCAAAAGTCGTGAGAACGAGGGAGAGGAAGACTTACTATTTCTCCCAGGGAGGCGGCCAGCATGTGAGCGACAGGTGCGGCGTGCACCGCTGCTAGCGGTCCGCCGGCGCCGAGCAGGGACTTTGTGTATTCGTAGGTGACAAAGAAAGCAGCGGCTGAAATCAAGCAGAACCACAGCCATTTTAGGCCCATTAGTCAACCAGCATACAGCAATTAATATCCCTCACTACTTCTGACAGGGGAGAAACCGCGGCGTGTGTGCGTGCGTTTGTCTGCACGGTCAATTGGGGTAAAAGATAAGAAAGTTAGTTGTGTTTCAGAGATCAGTTCTTTTGTACTGTCATAGGTTTCTGCAGAAGTGATGCATTTATTTTTAAACTGCACCAAAAAGATTCTATTATATTCAAACCACTAACGTATTACTTCAGATCCTCTTCATCATTCTGTCCCTGACATGCATACCATAAGAGTCTGGGAGTTTGAGACACAGACTCCTTTAACAGTCAAAAGATGTTGGGGAACCGTTTGATTTAATGGTCTATTGATTATCAAACACCAGAGATTTCCCCCTTTAAGTAGACAAAGTGAGTAGCATCAATCTATCCTACATATTAAACTGACTAACGAATTATAGCCTTAAAAAAGTCAATCTTAAAATCCTGATTCCAGTCATCCTTGTCATTGTATAATATTCATAAAAATGTGTAAAAGAGGCTCTGGAAGCAGAACAAACAGACCCTTTATGGATATTATGAACCACCGACTGGAGACTTAGGTCTCTACATAGAACGGGCAATTTGTGGTGTTTGGTGAGAACATCAATGACAAACAAGAGTGAACAGCGGCCCCTCGGCGTCATATATCCAGCCATCACACCGTTGGGGAAGGAGCCGACAGCAGCAGATGGGACTCCAGCGTAGATGCCCCTGAAGCCCCCTGCCTTGTAGAAGCCCTGCGGACTCTGCAGTCTCGTCTTCACGGTGTCCAGGGGGAAGAGGGTCAGATCCACACACATCCCCGCACAGCCGCCTGCCTGGAGAGACAATTGCTCCGTAAGACACGGCACATATTCAGACCATCTACTTAAACTTGCAGCTATTGAACTCAACAGGCTGAGTTCACACCACCGACATGTCATCTCATCTCATAAGAAGTGGCAAATGTGTTTGTCGTAACCTGCTTGCAATTTTGCAGACACAGTGTAGGATGGGGAATGATTTGGAGTGACGTTTTCGGTCCCCTGACGTATATGAATGTGCTTTGGTCTATTACTTCTGGGGGACATATCCGCCTCTTTAGCCTCTAAATGCTACAATCAATCATAATCAACCACAATACTAAATAAGCAGGTCTGAAGCTCTAACAATGAAGTATCAAAAGACGCATTTCATTGTGTTCAAGCATTCAAATACAATTGCTGATGTATTTGTAATGTTGTCGTGGGTCAATCTGGAGCTTCTTCTACAAAAATGTTTGGTGGTATATATGATCATGTTTTGAATTAAAATCAATTTTAATTGGTCATGTACGTAATGTAGTAAGGTAAATAAATCTCAAAAAACAAAACTGTCAAATAAGTAGTGGACATATCTATCATTATTGAAAAAGTCAATATAATACAGATAATCCCCCCACATAACAAACATATATACGTTTGGTGGATACTTCACAAAGTTTAAAGTAACATTATACAAAGTACCTGATATTTGATCATACCTTGTATTTACTCTTTAATCACAGTACCATGGCTCAATAAATAAGCTATAAATGCAGTGAAAGAGGGCGTTACACAAATAAACAGATCTTCTCCAACACTCTGTCTTTGGACTTTACATTTGAAGTATTATACATAACATTATATATATGAATTATACAGAAATAACTGAATAATTGTATTAGATGGACACGATTGACTCTTGCTTGTATCAATTAACAGTACATTTTCAGTGAAGGGTCACTAAAGGGTCACTTGATGACTGAGCGCCTTAGACACGTGACGTACCGAGTTTGCCCCGAAACAAACGTGACGTAACTCTGGATACAAATAACGTCACACAGAGCCGCTTCAACCCACACGTTGTTTAACGTTAGCTGATCTATGATGGTGCTTCTAATGACTTAGTTAGCGACCTCTGGACTAATGTAACGTACTATTTGGTGTGTTTATAGAGCTGGTGTTGTTGTAACGTTGGTTACAACTACACGTTAGTAACACAAATCCCTTTGTGTGAACTCTCCGGTGTTTATGTGCATAACGCGAACATGAAACGAAGCTCTGGTGGTAACTAGTCGGTGCTCAACTGACAATATTTATTTAAATCAACGTTAAAGGCTGCTAGGAATGAAAACCGGTAACCAAAACATCGTACAAAAGAGCAAACGAACCACAAGTGACGCGACGAACTCTCGTCTCTCCATCCTGCGCTCTCAAAATCTTCTCTTGTTAGCTGAACAGCACTTACATTTGCCACTGTTGTCCATGTTAGACAGTTGACAACACTCTCAGCATGAGTGTCAAGGACGCTGCCATCTTGGCCGCATGACTTCCGTATGACGTCATGACGCATGGCATCACATGACCTCTAAAGCTGCCAAATGAATACGCTTCTGTCTCTCCATTAAATTGGGTTAAATGCTAAGTTTAAATGATACCAACGCTTCATATATATACGCTTCATATATATATATATATGTATATATATATATATATATGAATATGCAAATTATATATATATTATATATACATATATATATATATGCAAAGTGTATATATAGACTTTGCATATTATGCATATTACGCACTAGTCATATAGTGATTGTGAGTTTTAGATATATTCAGTACGCATGTTATTTACTGTATAGCCTGAAAAGGGACTTTGAAACAAATAAATGTATAAAAATAAATTGTCCATAAAGTTTGATGGAGTGAAAACAACCTGAATCATACATATTAAGCTATGGTCGCAGCATAGTCAGATCATCATAGAGACATATTTCTTATAATATCAATACTTACATTTTCATTTTAACACAAATATGATATTACCTATTGTAATGGCAAATTAACCCTAATTACTCATTTCAGTAATAAAAAAATAGCATTAAACATTGTTTTTAGATATGTGACCGAGGTTAACACTCACTTGTGTTGCCATCCTATAACCGAGAGCCCTGATATTCTTGGGTTTCGCCTCTCCCTCGTGATCCCGTTGAGTGAGTGTGCTCAGGTGAGTGTGTTCTTTTCCAGTGACACCACTAGGTTATTAATGGGCTCCTGTCAGCCAGGCTGCACCTCCTATTAGGGCAGAGCAGGCGAGGGGCCACCACCTCTTTATTCAGCCCAAACCCAATGATGTCTGGGCTGAGTGCGCCCAGTTTGAGGCTCGGTGCCCTTCATCCATCTTGTTGAAGAGAGTCTCTCAGGGATCCCATTGGATGTGAGCCACAGCTGGATCTGGACTGGGCTGCTGCCTCTTCTTTCTTAATCTGTATTGGGCCCAAGGAAGGCAGTAGCATCACTTACGCACAGCTTCACGCACTGTTATTGTCTTGATAAAATTCACGAGATAGACAAGATTTCCTTGTTGCTCTTCTTCTGTTTAATAGATGTCATTCAGTCGTGTGTTAATCCATGGAGCATATACAGGTCGTTGAACATGACGCTGTCTCTGTGCTGGTGCTTTTAAATTACAGCCCATCCCTACGGAAGTGCCTCAGTCCATTCAATATAACGCATTAATTCTATGCCATACCTGAGATTGATTTTTCTGTTGTTGTCCAGAAGTTTGCAGCGTCCAGAGTCCTGTCTGTTCCATCATGCAAAGCCATTCATCACCTTGTCACACTACGTCCTTGGTTGATTTTTGTCAGCCGTGCTCCAAATGCTCTATTTATGTAAGTCGAAGGCTTGTTCACAAACCTTAAGGTGGCAACAACAGTTTCTTAACAACAGTTTCTTAACCAGACTGGACCATCATCAACTTTTCAACGAGCGCCTTACTTCTGAGAGACTTTTGTCGGCTTGAATAAAAGTTGGGTAAACCACGTAAATGATGTCTTCTGCACTGATGAAACTCTTTTACCTTTTAACTCCGTCAAGAAGCTTGCCAGCATGTGTTCCTATACTTGAACCAATTACATGTCAAGGAGTGAAGCTTTCAATTTGAGGCCAAGAAGAAAATAAATAGTCCACACCAACGCAGTCTGGGCCTTTTTCATGAAAGCCCACAGAGCCGTAGGTGAAGTTGTTGCAAAAGCTGCGGCTGTGTGAGAGTCAGTTACCCCTGTTTAAGGTTAATGAGAAGCACCCGGAGTCTGGGCAGATTTGCAGGGAGCACCATTGATCTTGACCCACTCCAGGTATGATATCAGACATAAAAGGGAGGAGACGAGAGGGGAACTTATTCACTGTCAGCCATAAGTCAGCAAAGGACAACTCTAGCCCGCGGGCTGTCTTTGAAAAACTGAAGGGCAAAAGCGCGGCGGATTAAGCGGCGATGTGGGGAGGGGAGGGAAATGTAAGCCGCCAAAAGGGTTATTGTAATAACACAGAAGCCGGCATCTATCGGCTCCGCTCTCTGTCAGAGGCATGTGTGTTAGATGACAGCCAGAATGAACTCGGGGGCAAAAGGTTACGGGACTTGAAACAGGTGAAAGGGTGTTCAGAGTTGCACCTGAAGTTTTTAGACACCTTTTTTCTGCTTGTGTCTGTGTGTGTGTGTGTGTGTGTGTGTGTGTGTGTGTGTGTGTGTGTGTGTGTGTGTGTGTGTTAAGGTAGACGGAGCAGATTGCTTACATTTGAATTGTTTAAAGTGAATTTTTATTATCCTCCTTTTCAGGGCCCAGTTGCTCCTTTCGGACACCACCACGGACCCCACCTTTTGTCTTTACGGCCCCCCCCCCCCCCTCCTCCTCAGTAGCAACTTGAGAAAGCACCATCTGTAATGGTCATTAATCGTGAGCTGAGAGGAACACACATCTTGATTCCGACACGGTGATGTTATTCATGAGACAGCGTGGTCGAGCGGCGCGCTTAACTTCAGCCACAACACAACTCCTGCTCATTAGCCGGCCTAACATTTGCATCGTTTGGACACCGTAACAGCAGGGGCAGGAGGGGACGCCACTAAGCGCCTTTCACACGACTCTTTGTTTTTACTCTCAGCACGAGAGGCTACATGAGTCTGTGACAGGGAGGCAAAAGGGAGGGTGGGAGTGAAGCTCCCAAAACGAGAGAAGTGACAGGAGGAGAGGAAGGAGGAGAACGGGACGGAGAGGGGAGGAGAGAGGGGGGAGGGGGGGGTAAAGGAGAAGAGAAAGGTTAGAGAGTAAGAGTAGAATAAAAGAACATTCATTATAAATTCACTGAATCGACAAGCTGTCAGGCCGCAATGGCCGGAGTAACGTATAAAAGCCTCCGCTTGCACCATCGACTCCTACGTCACACACCGAACCCGTCTCTCACTTTCTCACCTTTGTGTGCGTCCGTATCACCTGTTATTCTTCTCCGCGCTTCCTGCCCTGCGGAATTGACCCCCTTAGAGAAAGCCTTGACATCATCCCCATCTTCCCCGTAGCTCGGCCCCCCCTCTGCCCTCTTTCATCCCCTGCCTGGGCCGACCTGTGAAATATGAGCTGCCTGTAGCATATTGATCCGGCCTAAAGATAGATGGATCACGGACAAGGCAAAGCACTCCCCGTGCCCGCTCCTCTGTAGCAGCACTGTCGATGGCTTCACCGGTACGTATCGATCGCAGCGATCAATTTCAGCACAATGCACCCTGATGGATTCTGTGGCCCGCGTTGCCGTCGTCTCCGCGAGGGCAGGTGAGCTCAGCGAAGGGCTGTCACATGAGATGAACTGCGTCGGCGTCGGATCGGTCAGGACATGTGTAATCACCCCTGTGTTATAGCTGTCCAGAGGCCACAATAGAGGCATCAGCTGACAGAACCTCTTTAGCTGGAGGCGATGCTTTAAATGTTGTATGTTCATAGGTTAAACGTGGATTTCATTTAGACAATTCTGGTCTTATTTATTGCAAAGAATAGTAATAATCAAGTAAGGACCAATATCTTATGCTCATCGGTCGGATTTAGCCTTCCCATAACATTAATTAGTACAGTAAAGTTACATTAACAAGTTAAGCCGCATTGTTTCAACTTAACTGAACATTCTGGTCATCTACAACTCTCTCCATAGCAAACGGTTTTGCTAAATGTGTAGTGCACGTGCATAAGTTCAGCCTCGAAACAACAACACAGAGCAGCCCTGTCAGTGTGACCAGAAGGTCAGTCACTCAGACAAACAAATCCAAAAAGGAGCAGACGGAGAATCCAGCGTCAGAAGCAGAGACAGGGTCAGAACCGGCAGGTCGGATGGGCGTGATGACCAGGTGGGGCGACAAGGGATTACAGGACCTGAAATGTTCAGGAGAGTAAGAAAAACTGGCAGAGAGGATCAATAATAATGTAAAATGTAGTCACAATCCAACTAGTAAAACTAGAGGCAGGAAAGCAAACTGATCACAAAGAGGGAGAGAGATATCGATTCATCATCAAGGTGTGGCTGACTTCCTCCCCGCACTGGTATCCACTGACTGGCCTTTTGCTACTTTGGTTCTTGGTCACAGATGGCACTTGCATTTGTCACGGCCTGAGTGCTGGGTCTAACAAGGAGAAGGTGAGCGCATCCAAAAAACAATACTCCTCAAAGAGCTGCAAAATGAACCATGGGAGCTTGGTCTGCAGCATCCTGCACCCTCTGATAAATCACTTCGCCACGTACCTTTCATTTGTTTGCACTTTCTATTTCAAAACAAACTTTTCTCGTTTATCCATTACACGCATCCAAAATGTGATGGTCTGACGGGGAAGAATGTCATGAGTGACAATAACACAACGGCCTTTAAAGGACAGAAAAAGCGTGAAAACTAAAAACTTCCTTTGACTTTGTTCAGCATGAAAAACATTTTTGTGTAACCTCACATACACACACACACTCGTCGGTTCGTTGACTCTCCTGGTGTCTGCAGTGACGGATGTCCTGGCCGAGCCTGATTGCCGTCTAGTGGCTGACAAACAGCCCTGTGCAACAGCATTATCAAATGCTTGACTTTGTCTCTTTTAAGACTCTCTGTCTCCCGCACGAACACTTGGCACACACCGTCTTTCCTGTTTTGGCCTGTTGTGACTCCATGATGTCAATTAAAGCAACTTGGAATCAAAATAAGCTCAGTCAGGGTCACGTCACCGACACGCTCTTAGCCTGTTTGGGATTTTGTCATCTACTGGTAGGAACAGTCCTTGATGTGTCAAACTAGAAGGCAACGCACAGTTTGGACACTTTGTTGGAAGTGGCGACATTAAACATTAAATATGGTCAAAAGCCAAACATCCCTGATCTTTATTCTTATAAAACAGGTGAAAGTCTATTAGTACAGTCGGTCAGAACCGTAGATATAGTTTGGTTTTATCCCATTGAGTATCCCCGTGGTACGTCGCAAATAAACTCCAAAATTGCTTTCCATTTAAAAAAAATTCAGTTTACATTACTATTATTCTGCTC